GCCCTCACCCAGCACCAGAGAATCCACACTGGAGAAAAGCCTTATGAATGTAGTGAATGTAAGAAAACATTTAGGCATAGATCAGGCCTTATGCAGCATCAGAGAACTCACACCAGAGTTTAACTCTTTGGGTAAGAGTTGTACAACTATGAAATACTAGGAATTCACTTTGGGGGTGAATAATGGGATATGTATATATGATATATATGTGATATAATGGGATATATGATATATATATATATATATATATATGGTTCTGTTGAAATGCATGTATGGCAGGGGAGTACCTAGCCTGGTCCATGAGTCACTAAAGGCTTCCTGGATGTGATGAAATCTCAGTTGAGGCATAAAAGGTGGGTAGAAGTTAGCCAGACCAAGACAAGAAGGAAGAGAAGAATGTTACAGGCAGAGGTTATAGCACATGCAATGGCATGAACAGAGGATCTGGAGACATTCCTTCCTCTGAACTCTCTGGCAGGAATTTTTTCTTGGGGGCCCCTGGTTCAGAAGTCAGGACAGGTGTTTGTTCCTCTCTTCCTATTTAGTCACTGAGTTGGGTGGCCTATCCCAGTTCTCTTGGAGTACTTAGGAGAATTAGAGTGATGGAAGACTTTGCTGCGTTGTATGGAAAAAGGCATGTTTGTACACCAAAGAAAGAATACATATTGGAGGCTAGAGGGACAGTGGGGACTGAAGTGCTTGTGTCCCATGACCCTAGGGCCCAGGAAATGGGAAGCTGACAGGAACACGGGAATGGGAGGTCTGCCTTCCTTATTCCCTCTTCCCTCCTCTCATCACCAGACTCACAGATGCTAAGCTACGTGAGGGCAATGATTATTTGTTGAATATTCCTCAAAACTCTACTTCTCCAATTTTTATTTTGGCAGTTTTAACTAACTCACAATTGCTGAGGGCAGTTAATACCTAAGAGGAAGTTTGAGTCCTCTTCTAAGATGTCCTGATTTCCCTTCCTGATACTGTCACTTCTGAAGAAGATGTGATAATCAAAGTTGTTGTGGGTAATAGGAGAGGTGAAATTAGGGAGACAGCTTTTGTGTCCAGAGGTTGTAGGATTATTAGTGAGGCCAGTCAGAAATCTAAAAAGATCCTTCAAATGGATAGAGAGTTGCCTTTTCCTATGGGTGACAATCAAATGATTTCATGTTTTTAATACCACTTAATATTTTTTTTACTGATTGTGAATTAATTGTAAATGTTGATAGTACAGAAAATGAGAAAGTATAAATCACCCACGATCCCACCATCCATAGAAACTTTGTTAACATTTTGGAGTACTTCTAGTAGATTTTTTTTTACACCCCCCCCCAACCCTAATATATGTGTACTTCTTTTGGTGAAAATCTTGTTTGGTAAATCATTTTTAGTAAGTGATTTTAACACTTATACTTTTGATTATATACTTCAACTGTTTATTTAAAATTTTTTTTGTAGTTGATCTACAATGTGGCGTTAATTTCTGCTGTACAGCAAAGTGATTCAGTTATACATATATATATATATATATACACATTCTTTTTTAATATTCTTTTCCATTATGATTTATCTCAGGATATTGAATATAGGTCCCTGTGCTATACAGTAGGACCTCATTGTTTATACTTTAACTATTTAGTATTAGAATATAATGCAAGATGTCTTGTAATAAAATTTGAGTTTTAAGTTTTGCTTTGAAATTAATCATTCAGTAATAGGGAGCACCGTAACACGAATGGAGATGTGCTGGGAGAATGGGGGAAGGAGTTGTGGGAAGAAGGCAGGGAATTGGTGGTCTTAGCTTTGATTCCTGGGCCAAAACATGCCTGGAAACGATACCTAGTCCCTGGGGCTGCAGTTCACCAGGTGAAGTCACAAAATTGAGGGGACATCTGGAGCTGCACTGTGGTTGAAAGAACATGGGAATGAGAGCAAGTAGCCTCTACAAACAGACGCATCGTCCACAAGAATCAGGACGCTTCCCCACCTTGGGAGCAAGAGCCTGGGAGAATGCCACAGCTTTCCCCTCCCCTCTCAGCAGGTCCTTAATAGACACACATGTGCAAGAACACCCCATGACCCTTTAGATCTATCATTTGTGCCTGCCAACAAGAGAGCTGTGAACGATAAAGTTACTGAGCAGCAACATCTGGTTTTGGGCCATCAGAGAGCAGGGGGTAGGTCTGCCTACCCTGCTCACCCTTCCTCTTGACTTTGCAGAAATGCTCTTCAGGTCAGTTCCTTCTGCATGGAAATGATTGGCAATCCTCCTTGCTCTAAGGATTCACTTTACGGGGCAAAAGAAGCAAAGTTGTTCACAGGGGGGCTTGGAGAGACCAAGGTCAGACTTGCTTAAATTTCTAATCCTCTCATCTGGACAGTATTAACTGCAGCCTGTGGAAGTGAGGAGGGAGGAGTGGAGAGGTAGGAAACTGGTATTAAGCACTTTGCCTAAATTCCACATCTTTTTAAATCCATGAATCTGCGCACGACCCATTTAAGGTAAACAGTGGACTGCCTCTACACCGAGAGAAATGAGGGCTCTGAGCAGAAAGGAAAGGGATGGATTACTTTTCCTCAGGCAACTCTGGTGAAGGAAAAAACAATTACCTTTGACATCCACCTACTTGGTGCCCCCTCTGTTTCATATAGACTGTTGAAGCTTTAACTGTAAGAGATCACCTACTTCAGCTCTCTTAAACTGAGGGTCCAGAGTTGTCAGGTGACTTGCTTATGGCTGCAGAATTCACGGAGAAGCACTAATGAGAACAGAAGTCTTCACTTCAAGGCTATTGCTTTTCTCAACTATAATCACTTTCATGCAAATAACTTATATTTGCACAGAGATTTATAATTTGCGCTGGTTTTTTTGTACACTAGTCAGATGAGTACATCTGCCATTGTCACTTACCAGTTAGGAAGTCACAGATCAGTTAACGAGTTAGCTAACTGCCTAGGACTTGGAAGGCACAGAGATGCCATAGAAAGCACATGCTTTTCTTGATAATTTCTCAGCTATCCTGGGCTTCCATTCCCTTTTAAACCTTTTTTTCTCTAACTTTAGAAATTTTAGATATTTATTGTAGAAAAAATTGGAAGACACAAACACACAAAAAAATTAAATCTCCTATAATCTTATTACTCAGATATAACCAGTATAGCATTAAGATTATATATATTTCCAATATTTTTAATGCATAAATATATTTTTACACAAATCGTATTGTACATATCGTCTTATATTTTTACTTAAGATATGAACGCTTTCTTATTTAATATTAATCAACATCACTTTTAACAGCTTTTAAGACTTTGTATACATTCATGATGGTTTCTGAAGCATACATTTCCAGGTAGAATTTTAAAGTCAAAAGGCAATGTTTAAGGCTTCTGGTATTGATTGCCACAGACAGCATCTACTCACATCTCACCAGCAGCATTAGAGTCCCAATTTCCCTGAATCTTTGTTAGTTTTATGAGGGAAAAAAAGCGCCATCTCAACTCTTGCTTTAATATACATTTTTAATTCTAGCAAGGCTAATATTTACTGTCCATTGGCATTTATTCTTTTGTGATTTGCCTATTTAGGTACTACTTTTTTCTACTGGGACTTTTTCATGGGGAGATAGTACAGAGAAGTGGCTCCCCAGACACGTTCTGGATTCCTACTGCCTGGGTTTAAAGTCTGAGGTCACCACTTTGTAGCTACATGATCTTGAGTAAGCCATGACCTCAAGCCTTCATTTCTTCATCTGCAAAATATGGGCTGAGAAGTAATACATATACACAAAGCCCTTTGCAAGTACCTATTATGTTTCTTACCAATATATGTAAGAACCCTCTATATAAAGAATATTTGCCTTTTGTAATATATGTTGTATCAATTCCTACTTAACATTTGTTCTGCCCTTTTCAGTTTGATTGGATCTTCCTCTGTGGAAGAGGAATATGAGTTGAATAGCTTTACCATGCTATTTTGTTATTTAACCTAGCCCTTTCTTTTCTCACATTCTCTCTCCAAGCATGGGCATCTAGTCCTCCTGCCATTCTTACTGGTTACTACATGCTCATGCCCCAATAGAGGCATTACTTCTCTATTTATCCTCATGAAAACTCTTCCTATGTGCAGGACTCGAGATTCCCAAAGGCTTGAATTTTTGGTAAGGTGTGTTGTAACTCTGACCTATTAGGTATTTTAAATAACATTTCTGTTGCTGACTAACCTATACACCTTTCTGCATTGCACTGAGAAGCACCAGTCTAGGGATCCTTTTCCTGCTGGGTCCCTCAGAAGAGGGCAGTCTCTCTGGATGGACCGTGACTGTTACTGTTATTTCCCTTTAGCATGGTCTTTAACAAAGTTCACAAGACTGTGAAATACTGCTGATATGACAAAACTGAACACACGTGAGGCGCCTGGAGAGTAACAGACCCAGCAGTGGAGGAAGTTTTTAGTGCCTGAGCCTAGGGGCGCGCACTAGGAACTGTGGGAGTACAGACCCAGAAACAAATGATACGGCAGCCATAGCGGCTTCCGACCCGGAGCCTGGGGAGTTAGGAGGAAGCCGACAGAAGCACTGGTCACGTCTTAAGAACCAAAGGAGTCCTTATGTCTGCGAGGGTGAGATTTGGAACTCTAAGACTCTTAACTTCTAGACTGGGCTCTGCCCTCACCCACACGGAAGGCCTAGCCTCCAGGTTGGACAAAGAAGCTACGTTTTAACCCTTCCCCTGGGGTCATACAAACCAAGACAAAGCTCCTCACCACGCCATGCTCCAAGGACTCCAGGTTTTGTCTATTAACAAATTTCTCCACTGGCTCAGTTTCACTATAGGAACTGTAGTAAACAGAGATTCTGGCCACATGCATGCTTTTCCTACAGACAGGAACCCACTTCAAAAGGAACTCAAAAATACTCCAGGCAAAATGGCCTTTTCCTTTCCTCAGATGTGCCAGACTTTCTTCCTGGCTGGCCTACCTTCCTGGCCACTCATCCTTCAGATAATTTTTCTCAGAAGCCTCCCCTGATCCAAGGTTGGGCCAGGTGCTCCTTAACATCACACAGCAGGGATTGTACCACAGTGTCACTGCCTGTTTTGTGTTGTCCGTGAAACTGAAGGTATGGTCTTATTCTCCACTGTATCTCTAGTGCCTGGCACAAAGCAGCCACTCAAAAAATAACTGTTGGATAACTTAATTTGTATTTCCTTTTCACTATCTCACTTCTGGTCTGCCGTGGGCTCAATAAGTCATCGATGAAACTGTTTCCCCATATCTCGCTGCCCTGCCACTGTTCTTAACTGGTCAGTACAATTTTTGCATTCCTGAGACAAAATGTCCCTCATACTCTCCACACCATCCTCCAAATCTGGCCCACTGACAATTAGATGCAGTGACAGAGTTGCTGGTGCCCTTTGTGACATTCTCACGGAAAATGATGTTTCAATGTTATAGTCCCATCTTTCACAGTTCCTGAGTATTCTTACTGGTAAGAGAAAGGTGGAAGCAATGATTCTTCTGTCTGCTCTTCTAATTAGTCACAGGAAAAGCTTTCAGGGGACAATGTGCATGAGCACTGGCACGTGCTGTATAAAGTCAGATTGATTCGAGACCTAGTACTGTACAACCACCCCCATGGAGTCTTACTCCAAAGTAAATTAAACCCTTTTGACTAACAAAGATAGAAGTCTGACTGAAGTATTTACAGTATTGATTGTATTCATAAGTCACTTTACAGTGTGGACTCTCTGATGGCGCATGAGGACTGATCTGTGCCTGAAAGCCTTCCCACATTCACTACATATGTAAGCCTCATCCCCAGAGTGGATTCTCTGATGTTGAACAAGGGCTGAGCTCCTTTTGAAGGTTTTGCCGCATTCATTACACTGATAAGGTTCCTCTCCACTGTGAATTCTCTGGTGTCTGATGAGGTTTGAGCTCAGACTGAAGGCTTTTCCACACTCACTACATTCATAGGGTTTCTCTCCACTATGTATTCTCTGATGGGTTATCAGCTCTGAGCTCTGCCTGAAAGCTTTTCCACACTCATTACATTCATAAGGTCTTTCTCCTGTATGAATTCGCTGGTGTCTAATAAGCTTTGAGCTTTGGCTAAAGGTTTTCCCACACTCATTACACTCGTAGGGTTTCTCACCAGTGTGAATTCTTTGATGGATAATGAGATATGAACTTTGACTGAATGCTTTGCCACATTCATTACATTTACAAGCTTTCTCACCAGTATGGATTTTCCGATGTCTAATGAGGGCTGAGCTCTGGTTGAAGGCCTTCCCACATTCACTACATTCATATGCTTTCTCACCACTATGAATTCTCTGATGAATAATAAGATAGGACCTTAAACTAAAGGCCTTCCCACACTGGCTACATTTGTACGGCTTTTCTCCAGTATGGATTCTCTGATGTTGTGTTAGAGCAGAATGCTGTTTGAAGCTGTGCCCGCATACATCACACCTGTAAGGTCTCTCTTCTGCAGGAACTTTCTGATACGTTATAGAGTTTGTATTTAGAATCAAGCTTCTCTGGGGCTCAGGATGGTCTTTGTTTCCTAGAGATTTGTGTGTGAAGATTACTTGACTAAAACTGCCCCCTTGGGAAGGGGATCTTCTTAATTTCTCCCCTGTAGCACTTCCTTGCTGCCACTCTGAACTGCTTTCATGTTCACTAATTCCTCCAAATGAAGGGTCCTGGGGAAGTCTTTGCAATTTCTCTCCTGAAATGTCCTTCTTTGTTGCTGATCCATTGTTTTCACAATCTGAAATGACAACAGCAAAAAAACAACTTTTTATTTCTCCACTTTCAATACTCCCTTTCTACGTGAGAGAAAACAGATGCTTCTACTTACAAACATAAAGCCATCTGCATGTATCTTTTTTTTAACTGGTCAAAATAGGGTCCCTCCTCCTTTCTAATACTAAGGCCTACATCTACAGTTTGAAATTTACCCTTTCCTGCTTCCTCTGAGACTTCAGTTCATCAGTTACCCACTATTCCTTTCCTGTTGTTTTCAATCTCTTTCTCTGCTGACTCCTGTTCGTCAGCATTTAAATAAATTCAAGTCTCTCTCATCTTTTTAAATCAAGCTCCTTGCCTACACATCTCCCTCATGCAACATCACTCCCACTGAGAATAAAGCTTCTTCAAACGGTTGTTGGTACTCGTTCCCATTCTGTAATCTGGTTTCTGCCATACCTGTGCGCCGCCCACCCCCCAAACTACTCTCATCAAAATCAGCTTCATAGCTGCTAAATCCAATGGCTTCTTTCTGGATCTTACTTAGTTGGCCTCTCTGTAGCACTGACACTGGGGACCACATCTTCCTTCCAGAGCCATTGTCTTCCAAATACATTAGCCTGATTTCTGTGGCTGTTCCTTCTTAGATTCAAGGTCAATCACTCGAACACGAGTTTCTCAGGGTTCTGTTCTGAGCTCTCATATATCCTCACTCCACCAACTCTCTATGTCCTAAGCTTCAATCACTACTTACATTATAAGCTAATATCTCCCCAGATCCCCAATTCTATCCCAGTTCTATGAAGCTCTAGACTCTCGTATCCAATGCTAATTGGCCATATTACCTGTAAATATTTGACAAGCACCAAAATGTCCCAAACTAAACACATCATCATATGTATTTTTTCCTTATGTTTTCCCACTTATATGAATAGCACCGCCATTAACCAAGTTGTTCAAGACCGAAACCTGAGTATCACCCTCAACTCCTCTCCCACATGCTCCACGTTTAACGACCAGCTACTGCAATTCAAGTTAAATGCAGAAGAACAGGAGTCAGCCGTGATCTTTCCCACCTCTCACCACAATACATATTGATTTATTCACTGTGGCCACTTGGATTACAACTGTCTCTAACCAGACTCTACTCTCGCCTTCCTCAAATCCATTCCCGCTCTGCAACTGAGTCCTAAAACACAAATCTGATCATGTCACTCACTCGTCTAAAACCCTTCAACTGTTCCCCACTGTACTGTACAAACGAATGAGCATGACAGACACGTTTTCACAATCTGTGTCCCAGTTTCGTCTCTAGTTTCCCTCTAACCAGCTCTCCCCTAGGAGTTCTCTCTTCAAGTTAAATTAAATTACCTGAAATTCCCGGAATGGATTGTAATCTCTCACCTTCAGGATTTTGTGGACTTTGCTCATGTGATACTGTAATGTGGGAAATATAGATTTGGCCTCACTCCCAGTTCCCGGCACAGAGCTTTTAAAACCCCTGAAAATTTCCTCTGTGGTAGAGATGAGAAGGTGCCGGAGGTTATGCTAATGAGTTGACTCTTGGAGGGCAGGGCGGCTGGTTGATTAGAGCGTTAGAACTTTTGGACCCATCCTCTGACCTCCAGGGAGAGGGGCTGGAGATTGAGTTAATCAATCACCAATGGCCAATGATTTAATTAACAAAACCTCCATAAAAACCTTAAACAAAGGGGTTCAGAGAGCTTCAGGGATGGCGAATGCACCCAGGAGAGTGGTGAACCCCAAACTCCAGAGAGACAGAAGTTCTTGTGCTCAGGACCCTTCTGAACCTTGCGCTATGGACTTCTTCATCTGGCTGTTCATTTCTGTCCTTTATGATGAACAGGTAATGGTAAGTAAGGTGTTTCCCTGAGTCCTGTGAGCCATTATAGCAAATTATGAAACCTGAGGAGGGGGTTGTGGAAGCACCAATTTGCAGCCATATCGGACAGAAGTGTGGATAATCTGGGGACTCATTACATGCAACTGGCATCTGATGTGGGAGGCAGTCTCTTGGGACTGAAACCTTAACCTGTGGGGTCTGCACTGGTTCTGGGTAGTTAGTGTCAGAATTGCTTAATGGGAGGGAAAACCCCACATATGCAGTGTCAGAAATGTTGTAAGCAGAGAAACAGTTTTTCCCTTTAGCTCGGGAATCTCCTCCTCCCACCTATTTACCTGGCTTTCTTCTACTCAGAGTTCAAGTCCTAGCTTAGATGTCTCTCCCTCCAGGAAGTACTCCTTGGACCTCTAAGGTGGAGTTAGGGTGGGTGCCTTTATATGTGCCCCCATAGTACATTAATTATTCTGTAATTTACTACCCTATACTGTATTGTAATTGCCTTTTTGCTTGTCCACCACCCCATCTAGGCTTGAAAGTTCTTTCAGGATAGAGACCCAGTGCCTACCACAATACAGACGTGTACTAGCACCTTATTAAGTCATGAAATGAAGGAATAAGTGGATAAATGATGGGGAAACTGACACAAGGAGGGCTGACTGCAATTCATCAGGATTGCTGAATACAAAGGTGCTCGAGAGTGAGCACCTCCATTCGAGAATAATAAACGTGAGGCTCACATGGGGCATGCTGTAAAATGTTGTAAATTTTCTACCCTCAAGACCAGAGGCCTGATAACAGTTCCCAGATGAGTTTCTACTTCTTACCGCTTCTGGGGGAAAGGCAAGGTTCCCAGGGTTTCAGCTGTGTCTTTAAAGGCTGGAGTTCGATGTTTGTTAACTCCTGGGATGCTCCAAGACATGTCAAATCCATCCATGGCACTGCTGGTCCCTGTGGACTAGCTGGGACCTGAAATCAGTAAAATTTGTGAGAAAATTTCTTTGTGAGAAAATCCCTAGGGAAAATGCTTAGTAAAAATCTCCAAGAGGTCACCGAAGACATCTCCAGGGGTGACGGATAGGAACAAAAGAACTGTTTAAGGACAGAGACAGGTATGGCCCTGGTAGTCACTTCAGGGTTACGGTTCAGTAGAGACAAATTCTCACCCCATTCTTATGATGCCGCCACATGCTCCAGGAAGTAGATTCCTTTTCCCAAAATATATCACATCTCCCTGTTCTCACCTGCTGCCCTGGATCATCAAATTCCCTCTCCAAATCCTCCAACAGAGTCACAGCTTCCTCGCCACTTTTTGGACTGTGTTGCTGAACCCAGATCTGCAGCTCCTCAGGCAGGATGCTCAGGAACTGCTCCAGCACCAGCAGCTCCAGGATCTGCTCCTTCGTGTGCAACTCTGGCCTCAGCCACTGACAGCAAAGCTCCTGGAGTCGGCCCAGAGCCTCCCGGGGCCCAGGTGTCTCCTGGTAGCAAAACTTTCTGAACTGCTGGCGAAACAATTCCTGGCAGGATCGGGTACTCCCATTCTGCTTAAGTTTCTGACCCCAAGAAAGGCTTTCTTCTACTTTCACTAGTATTAGCTCTTGTTCCTGAGAATTCTGAGGTACTGGAGTTGAAACTGCTCCGGATTCCATAGCCGTTCTGAGCTGAAACAGCTTAGCAAAAAGCTCACTACAACTAGGTCCTCTACTTCAGTTGCTTTTGAGTAATCTCTTCTTTCCTGAAGGATATAAAAGCACTGTTAACTTACAGCAATGAAAAAAAACCTCTAAGAGCTTACAATAATAAAGATCAGTCATCGCTCTAAGAACTTACAATAATAAAGATCAGTCATCGGAGTAATATATGGAAAGGGATCAGGTTTGAGACTGTAACTAAGTAATAAATGACAAAACTAAAAATCACCTCATTCAACGTCTCTCATTTTGTAGAATTCCTACCACATTTATGCTATGAGAAATTATTTTAGAGGCAAAAGAATGCAATATTAACATGAATCACATATTGAGGAATTTCCTTTTCAATTCTCTGTCAATCTGTTTGTACCAAGCAGAATAGTCTGTCTTTAACACCTTCTGAAGATGTTACTTACAGAATTCCCTTTTAAATAAACTATAGGCCTCAGACTTCCATGGGTAACAGTATCTAGCTAGGATTTGATATGCTGATTTTTAAACGTTTATTTTTAGTTACCTTTAACCTATGGCACATAATGGTGCTTTTCATTTAGGTAGTAATAAAACATTTTTAAAAATCCATATTAAACATGAGTTGATTTAAATAAAAACATTGTTGGACGTTTGCCATTTGATTAAATTTAGTATTTAATGCGCTTCTTCAACAAACATTGAGGCACTTATTATGGGCTCTGTCCCGAGCCAGGTATTAAGATACAAAGGTTTTTGCTCGTGAATAAATGAGTCTACCTAGAAATTAACCAAGAAGTATTTGTTAAATGCTTACCATGTGCGCAAATGTCAGATATTATAGAGACACAAAAGCAAAAACGTTAATCTCAACTCTCAAAAAGCTTAGAAGATAGGGGAATAAACATTTTAAAAAGTGAAATATGGCAACAAATAAATGTTTTTAATTTTGTAATATATAGACCGATCATGATCTGATCTTTGGATGGGAGAATATTGATAGAAAGGTGTACCCCTGAATTAGCAAGACAGATCAGTACATCTGAACACTAACACTACAGTTAACTTTAGAGAACAGAATATTTAGCCTACAAATCCGTGGTTTGTTAACCAGCCCTGCCGCACTAGCCTATTTTTATATCCCGGTTAAATCGCAGCATCTGCGAAATCACGGCGGTGGGGGAATAACTGCCCTTTCCGCTGGAAAGCAGGGGCAGTGCTGGTCTCCTCTGCGTCCCCAGGACACTCGGAGACGCCGCCCGGACAAGGTGCCGAGACCCGGAGATGGGCAGGCCGAGAAGCGGGGCTCCTCCACCCAGCGCCCACCGCCCCGACCGCGCGCCCTCCCCGCCCCCGCTCCGTCTCAAGCCCCGTGTCCCTCACCGCGAAGCTCAGGAGCCGCCAGGGCACGAACCCCGGACCTGCAGCTGCGAGCCACAAAGACCGGAAATGCGCGCTCGCGGCCTTCCGCTCGCGCGCCCCCCCCCCCCCGAACCTCCATCCGTCCCGCCCCGTGCTCACAGTCAGCCAATCAGCGCGTGACTCCGGCCCTCCCACCACCTTCCCGGGGTGGCTGCGGGCCCCGTGGAGCATCGACGCCAGGGCTAGGATGCTCTAGAGGCGGGGATCTTAGGGGGACGTCGCCATCCCCTAGGGCACTGCTGCACGCCTCGGCCACCTCCTACCCTGGCTTTCTTCCTCCTGATTTGTGTCGTGTCATTTTCCTGTAATTCCTGTGCATTTCCCGTACTGCCGACATAAGTAAACCCGTGGATGAACGCGCTGAACAAAAAGTAACCACCATTTATATTCCTTTTCCCTCTGCGTATCGTTTGAGCCTTCCAACTGCTCTGTGCAATAGCTATTTATGCTCATTTTACAGCCATAGACTCTGCCCAATGTCAGGCAACGTGTGACAAGATACGCCGAAGTCGCCGTAGTTCAAGGACACTCTGGGGTCCCAGACATTGCACCTCTAATGCAGGACTTTTCCATTTTTCACTGGAACTTAGCTGGCTTAAGTTTTATGGTTTATATTTTTCTTTGGCTGTTCACTAGATTAAAAAATGATGCCTCACTTTTTTCTTTTTTTGGGGGGTACGTGGGCCTCTCACTGTTGTGGCCTCTCCCGTTGCGGAGCACAGGCTCTGGACGCGCAGGCTCAGTGGCCATGGCTCACGGGCCTAGCCGCTCCGCATGTGGGATCTTCCCGGACCGGGGCATGAACCCATGTCCCCTGCATCGGCAGGCGGACTCTCAACCACTGCGCCACCACGGAAGCCCACCTCATGTTTTAACTTGCATTTCTTTTAAATTAGTGAGCTTGAGTTAAAGTATTTTCCTCACATGTTTATTGACCATTTATGGTTCTTCATGGAAATGGCTTCTCCCTTTTTTTTTTTTTTAACCTCTTTATTGGAGTATGATTGCTTTACAATGGTGTGTTAGTTTCTGCTTTATAACAAAGTGAATCAGTTATACATATACATATGTTCCTATATCCCTTCCCTCTTGCGTCTCCCTCCCTCCCACCCTCCCTATCCCACCCCTCTAGGTGGTCACAAAGCACTGAGCTGATCTCCCTGTGCTATGCGCTGCTTCCCACTAGCTATCTATTTTATGTTTGGTAGTGTATATATATGTCCATGCCACTCTCTCACTTTGTCACAGCTTACCCTTCCCCCTCCCCATATCCCCAAGTCCATTCTCTAGTAGGTCTGTGTCTTTATTCCTGTCTTACCCCTAGGTTCTTCATGACTCTTTTTTTTCTTAGATTCCATATATATGTGTTAGAATACGGTATTTGCCTTTCACTTTCTCACTTACTTCACTCTGTATGACAGACTCTAGGTCCATCCACCTCATTAAAAATAGCTCAATTTCGTTCCTTTTTATGGCTGAGTAATATTGCATTGTATATATGTGCCACATCTTCTTTATCCATTCATCCGATGATGGACACTTAGGTTGTTTCCATCTCCTGGCTATTGTAAATAGAGCTGCAATGAACATTTTGGTACATGACTCTTTTTGAATTATGGTTTGCTCAGGGTATATGCCCAGTAATGGGATTGCTGGGTCATATGGTAGTTCTATTTGTAGTTTTTTAAGGAACCTCCATACTGTTCTCCATAATGGCTGTACCAATTCACATTCCCACCAGCAGTGCAAGAGTGTTCCCTTTTCTCCACACCCTCTCCAGCATTTATTGTTTCTAGATTTTTTGATGATGGCCATTCTGACTGGTGTGAGATGATATCTCATTGTAGTTTTGATTTGCATTTCTCTAATGATTAATGATGTTGAGCATTCTTTCATGTCTTTGTTGGCAGTCGGTATATCTTCTTTGGAGAAATGTCTGTTTAGGTCTTCTGCCCATTTTTGGATTGGGTTGTTTGTTTTTTTGTTATTGAGCTGCATGAGCTGCTTGTAAATTTTGGAGATTAATCCTTTGTCAGTTGCTTCATTTGCAAATATTTTCTCCCATTCTGAGGGTTGTCTTTTGGTCTTGTTTATGGTTTCCTTTGCTGTGCAAGAGCTCTGAAGTTTCATTAGGTCCCATTTGTTTATTTTTGATTTTATTTCCATTTCTCTAGGAGGTGGGTCAAAAAGGATCTTGCTGTGATTTATGTCATAGAGTGTTCTGCCTATGTTTTCCTCTAAGAGTTTTATAGTGTCTGGCCTTATATTTACGTCTTTAATCCATTTTGAGTTTATTTTTGTGTATGGTGTTAGAGAGTGTTGTAATTTCATACTTTTACATGTACCTGTCCAGTTTTCCCAGGACCATTTATTGAAGAGGCTTTCCTTGCTCCACTGTACACTCCTGCCTCCTTTATCAAAGATAAGGTGACCATATGTGCGTGGGTTTATCTCTGGGCTTTCTATCCTGTTCCATTGATCTATCTTTCTGTTTTTGTGCCAGTACCATACTGTCTTGATTACTGTAGCTTTATAGTATAGTCTGAAGTCAGGGAGCCTGATTCCTCCAGCTCCGTTTTCTGTTCTCAAGATTGCTTTGGCTATTCAGGGTCTTTTGTGTTTCCATACAAGTTGTGAAATTTTTTGTTCAGGTTCTGTGAAAAATGCCAGTGGTAGTTTGATAGGGATTGCATTGAATCTGTAGATTGCTTTGGGTAGTAGAGTCATTTTCACAATGTTGATTCTTCCAATCTGAGAACATGGTATGTCTCTCCATCTGTTTGTATCATCTTTAATTTCTTGCGTCAGTGTCTTATAATTTTCTGCATACAGGTCTTTTGTCTACTTAGGTAGGTTTATTCCTAGATATTTTATTCTTTTTGTTGCAGTGGTAAATGGGAGTGTTTTCTTGACTTCACGTTCAGATTTTTCATCATTAGTGTATAGGAATGCAAGATATTTCTGTGCATTAATTTTGTATCCTGCTACTTTACCAAATTCATTGATTAGCTCTAGTAGTTTTCTGGTAGCATCTTTAGGATTCTCTATGTATAGTATCATGTCATCTGCAAACAGTGACAGCTTTACTTCTTCTTTTCTGATTTGGATTCCTTTTATTTCCTTTTCTTCTCTGATTGCTGTGGCTAAAACTTCCAAAACTATGTTGAATAAGAGTGGTGAGAGTGGGCAACTTTGTCATGTTCCTGATCTTAGTGGAAATGCTTTCAGTTTTTCACCATTGAGGACGATGTTGGCTGTGGGTTTGTCATATATGGCCTTTATTATGTTGAGGAAAGTTCCCTCTATGCCTACTTTCTGCAGGGTTTTTATCATAAATGGGTGTTGAATTTTGTCGAAAGCTTTCTCTGCATCTATTGAGATGACCATATGGTTTTTCTCCTTCAGTTTGTTAATATGGTGTATCACATTGATTGATTTGCGTATATTGAAGAATCCTTGCATTCCTAGAATAAACCTCACTTGATCATGGTGTATGATCCTTTTAATGTGCTGTTGGATTCTGTTTGCTAGTATTTTGTTGAGGATTTTTGCATCTATGTTCATCAGTGATATTGGCCTGTAGTTTTCTTTCTTTGTGACATCCTTGTCTGGTTTTGGTATCAGGGTGATCGTGGCCTCATAGAATGAGTTTGGGAGTGTTCCTCCCTCTGCTATATTTTGGAAGAGTTTGAGGATAGGTGTTAGCTTTTCTCTAAATATTTGAAAGAATTCGCCTGTGAAGCCATCTGGTCCTGGGCTTTTGTTTGTTGGAAGATTTTTAATCACAGTTTCAATTTCAGTGCCTGTGATTGGTCTATTCATATTTTCTATTTCTTCCTGATTCAGTCTTGGCAGGTTGTGCGTTTCTAAGAATTTGTCCCTTTCTTCCAGGTTGTCCATTTTATTGGCATAGAGTTGCTTGTAGTAATCTCTCATGATCCCTTGCATTTCTGCAGTGTCAGTTGTTACTTCTCCTTTCTCATTTCTAATTCTATTGATTTGAGTCTTCTCCCTTTTTCTCTTGATTAGTCTGGCTAATGGTTAATCAATTTGGTTTATCTTCTCAAAGAACCAGCTTTTAGTTTTATTGATCTTTGCTATCATTTCCTTCATTTCTTTTTCATTTATTTCTGATCTTATCTTTATGATTTCTTTCCTTCTGCTACCTCTGGGGTTTTTTTGTTCTTCTCTTTCTAATTGCTTTAGGTGCAAGGTTAGGTTGTTTATTCGAGATATTTCCTGTTTCTTAAGGTAGGATTGTATTGCTGTAAACTTCCCTCTTAGAACTGCTTTTGCTGCATCCCATAGATTTTGGGTCATCGTGTTTTCATTGTCATTTGTTTCTAGGTATTTTTTGACTTCCTCTTTGATTTCTTCAGTGATCTCTTGGTTATTTAGTAGTGTATTTTTTAGCCTCTATGTGTTTCTATTTTTTACAGTTTTTTTTCTTGTAATTGATATCTAGTCTCATAGGGTTGTGGTTGGAAAAGATACTTGATAAAATTTCAATTTTCTTAAATTTCCCAAGGCTTGATTTGTGACCCAAGATATGATCTATCCTGGAGAATGTTCCATGAGCACTTGAGAAAAATGTGTATTCTGTTGTTTTTGGATGGAATGTCCTATAAATATTAATTAAGTCCATCTTGTTTAATGTATCATTTAAAGCTTGTGTTTCCTTATTTATTTTCATTTTGGATGATCTGCCCATTGGTGAAAGTGGGGTGTTAAAGTCCCCTACTATGAATGTGTCACTGTCGATTTCCCCTTTTATGGCTGTTAGTATTTGCCTTATGTATTGAGGTGCTCCTATGTTGGGTGCATAAATATTACAATTGTTATATCTTCTTCTTGGATCGATCCCTTGATCATTACGTAGTGTGCTCCTTTGTCTCTTGTAATAGTCTTTATTTTAAAGTCTATTTTGTCTGATGTGAGAAGTGCTACTCCAGCTTTCTTTTGGTTTCCATTTGCATGGAATATCTTTTTCCATCCCCTTATTTTCAGTCTGTATGTGTCTCTAG